GGCAGAGAGAGAAGGAGACACAGAATCCGAAGAAGGCTCCAGGCTCTGAGCTGTCAACACAGAGCCCCACACGGGGCTCAAACTAACAAACTGTAAGATCATGACCTGAGCCGAAGTCAGATGCTTAACCGACTGAGCCACCCAAGCGCCCCTTGTTTTGTTTTCTGTATGTCTTTTTTATCCCTATGCTCCTCCATTACTGCCTTCTGTTGTGTTAAATAGCTATTTTCAAGTGTACCATTTAAATTCCCTCCCCCCACCTTTTAAAAAAATATTTTACCAGGCATCTGTGGGTGTAGCACATCAGGCAAGTCACAACCATCCTCTGGGTCAGTGCCCTGCAAAGGTCCCTGGCACTGGGAAAGAGCCAGAGCTATATGCTCGGAAGACCTGTGGTGGGCTTGGACATGGGGATACTGAACACTTGCTACCCTACAACCTCTCCCATGGTCTTTGCTCCATTGTTGCTCTCCTGGGCTCCATGATTTAGGCTCCATTCACTGGACTTTTGAAAGTGATGAAGCTCAAGCTGGCCCCACGGGAAGAGGAGAGAAGGAAACTGTGAGGTCAGTTCACCCTACTCCATCCTTGCTCAGATACCAGGGTCACACCGTGCCTCTTTTACTCTTTTCTTAAAGTTATTTTCTTAGTGGTTGCCTGGGGCATTATAGCTAGCCTCCCAATTTAAAGTAATCTAGCTTAGATTAATATTAACTTAATTTCAATTGTATATAGAAATTTGCTTTAATACAGCTCCATTCCCTCCCTTCTATGTGATATTATCATCATACAAATTATATCTTTATACATTATAGGACTATCAACACAGGTTTATATTAATTGCTTTATAAGGTGTCTTCTAAATCAGACAGGAGAAGAAAAAAGCTACAAAAATTTCATTTGTATTTTTTTTATATTTATCTATGTAGTTATCTTACTGATACTCTATTTCTTTATGTGGATTTCAGTTACCATCTAGTGTTTTTTCATTTTAGACTGAAAAGACTCCCATTAGGACAGAAGTGATGGTTGTGAATTCCTTTAGCTTTTGTTTACAGTGGAGTATCTTAATTTTTCCCACAATTTTGCAGAATATTTTGCTGGATGTAGAATTCTCGGTTGATGGTCTTCCCCTCAAACCCCCGGTACTTCAAATACATCATCCCATTGCTTCTGGCCTCCATAGGATGGGAGTAGGCCAAGTTAAAAAATCCACAAAGTTCAGATGTTTTTCCTGAATAAATTCTCCTCAAATTGTTACAAATCTTGGATTAGTTTCTAAACCAAACAAAAGGTTGATTTTGACAAATACATATACATATATATATATATCATTTTTATTATATATATATATATAATATATGTTATATCATATTTATTTATTTGAGAGAGAGAGAGATTGAGAATGAGTGGGGAAGCGAAGTGAGAGGGAGACAGAAGATCCAAAGCAGGCTGTGTGGCTGTCAGCATGGAGCCAGACACGGGACTCAAACTCGTGAGCCATGAGATTATGATGTGAGCCGAAGTTGGAAGCTTAACCGACTGAGCCATGCAGGCACCCCAATATCATATTTATATTTGTCAGGGCTACAAAAAATATACTTTAGACATTACTATCATGAACTGTGGAATAAGATAGGACTGGAAGCACATGAATTGGGCATATTCCTTAACTTCTATAAGTCTTTTTTTGCATATCTGTACAATTGAGTTAATGATATACACTCAATAAGACTGACACCTTTTGATCTGTCATATGACAGATCTTCTCTTAGTGGATCAATTATAGAGAAAGAACAATAAAGACAAGCTGTAAGTCCTTCAGGGTGGCATGTCACTGTAAAATTGAATGTTCTTCAAAATGTCTCCTCTGCTGTTCTCAGTCTCCTGTTTCTTAAGTTATGTGTAAGAAGGCACAAGCATGGCAGTTTCTCATTAGCCTTCTAGAGTTTCTATTCAATGGCTGAGCTCACCTATATATATATATATATATATATATATATATATATATATATATATAGTGTGTGTGTGTGTGTGTGTGTGTGTGTGTAAGACACTCCTTTGGGCACTGCAAGAGTGATGTCAGTGAGCCTAATATTGGATGATGTGCACATTTTCCCTTTTGATGTAGTAGCTCCACATAGAATTTTCAAGTGCATCCACCCCCCCAACCCCCCAGACCAGGGGTACTGTTTAAAAAGTGCTTCTCTTGAGTTTGGAGAATCTCTGATAGTCCTGAGAAAGCCAAAAGAGACCCAGACCAAGTCTCTTGTTTTACATTCCTCATTTTTAGAATCACAAACATACCTGAATACTGTAGGACTCCAGGAATGCATGAGATAGCATAGTTTTTGGTCTTTGTATCAATCAAAGCAACAGAATCACTAGAACATCTATATCTATATCTTTGTTTATCTACATGTATATCTGTATCTATTTATCTCTATATCTTTAGTTGTGCCTATATCTGAATCTCTATCTAATCACATATCCATACAATTACAAGCATTTATTTGTTATAGAGATCTGAATTTATGCAGTTGTGGGAGCTTCTGGGAAAGTTAAAGTTCAAGTAATCCAAAAGGAATAATGAGTGTAAAAGTAGAGGAAAACAAGGACAGGCGGGAATGTACAGGCATGAGTTGGAGCCCACGAGAACAAACTGAAATCTGTGTCAGTTCTCATTACCACTAACCTTGATGGTGTGGCTATACTGCAGAAGTTGGGGCCCTTCATCAAGGAGCTAAACACACACCTGAAGGTGGTGAAGCTGAAAGAAGATGTGAAAGTGGAGCACTTGAAGGCTTGGTCATCATCTCACCAATGAAGTAAGCCAGCAGTTACATTATAATTACAGTAAAGGGGTAGGCCATTGTATAGAAGACAATGTAAGTGGTAACAGAAATATTGCACAAAATGCTTATTAAAAATGGCAGGACAGGGCCACCTGGCTGGGTCAGTCCATGGAACATGCAACTCTTGACCTCAGGGTTGTGAGTTCGAGACCCACACTGAGTGTAGAGATTACTTAAAAATAAAATTTTTAAAAAAATGGCAGGACAGATTATATTCAAGATTATATAGGGAAAAGAGAGACTTCAGTCTAGAACTGAGCCTAACTCCAAATATAGCAAAGACAGCTGAGGATTCTGCCTATGGGCAGAATGAGGGAGTCAGTGGATGGAAGATAACTAAGAGGAACTTGATTAGATATCAAGGGTGTGGGCATTCTTCTAAACTATGCTGAACAGGCCAGGGAGGCAGCTTAGTTGAGAAGAGGGCTCAACAGAGCCTGATTAAAGTTTGGTCAAGGAGGGGTTCCTTGTCAATATGAACTATCAAAATAACTGCTATTACACTTGTGTACTTCAAATCTCATAGAAGAATTGTCCCGATGGTCTGTTCTAACTGAGAAATTTGGGAAATGTAGTTCAGGTTAGCTAAAGTGACATATTGCAGAGCTACCACAATCCTATTTGGAGGCCATGGTTCTTCCTCAGATCTTATTTTCCTGCTGTGAGATTCAGGTCATGGGTAATGGATTCCCTCACTGCCTCTTCTTAAAACAATAGGTAGGTGGGATATTGATGGGCAGGACATTGGCTAACTCTGCCTCCTGTTTCTACTTTGTGTTTTTTTCCCCCCATGAGTTAAATTATATTTTACTTAAAAAAATATTTTATTATGATAAGAGCAATTAATATGGGATCTATCCCCTTAACAAATTTTCAGTGTACATTATTGTTGACCGTAGTGGTACAGCAGATCTTTAGAGTTTATTCATTTTATTTAGCTTAAACATTGACTATTGCTTAATAACTCTGCATTTCTCCCTCAGCCTCTGGTAACCACCATTCCAGTCTTTGGTTTTACAAATTTGGCTATTTTAGATACTTATATAAGTGAAATCATGTAGTACTTGTCTCTCTGTGTCTGGTTTACTTCTCATTCTTTGCTTCTCTCTTAGGGTGAGCTTTCTGGTCTCCTTCCCTCACTCCCAGGTCTTTGCTCTCTTATATGGGATTAGAGGCATGGTTTCATTTGGGAGGGGACCTGGTCATATTTATTGAGATCTATACAGTGTTATCAGTGGATTTTCTTGGATGCAATCTGCCAGAAAATAGCTACAACCAAAGCAAAAACATAAACAATTTCATTTCATTTACTCTTAAAGGATAATTGGGAAATAATTTACTTCCAAGGCTGGGGGTGTGCCCCAAGCTCATAAGACTTTGGAGATACTCAGAACAATGCTTTGCATTGTCAATATATGTAAGAGCTACTAAGGCCCAGGCCTTGCTCAGATATTCAGAAATTTCCATCCTTCTGTTTGTGGGGTCAGGCTTTCTCCTGTATTTCCTGTTCACATTGTTCTGAATGTGACCCAGGCTACCAGAATGACGGCTGTTTAAAGGACAGTCTTGTCTTGTAGGGTATTTCACTTTCCCACCTTGTTAAGTGGCTTCCATGAGCCTGATGAAAGGTAAATACTTTGTATCTTGAGAGCCTGATGATTAAAAATGGGAGGAAGAGGAAATAGATTAAGTAATAGGAAAGTAAGTGAGCTAATTCCTCCATGTTTCTGAGAGGAAATCATTAGATGCTTTCTAAAGTTGAGTTATTTAAGAATAAAAGTCTTCTCATATTATTTAGAGTTATGGATGTAACTACCAAAAAGAACTAAAACCATACATAAATTATTGTTTCCAGAGGGAAGAACTGGAAATGTATTTGGGAAAGAGTGAAGTAGAGCAAGAAACCCTGTTTTGTTTTGTTTTTTTTTGTTTGTTTGTTTTTGTAATACCTTGTTTTTTGAAATTCTTTTTTTCCATCTGAATGTATTATTTTGATAATAATTAAGAAAGAAGTCAAAGTAAACACTTCCAAGTAACTTCACACTATTTTACTTGGATGCATTGCATATATTTTGTTAATGATTGAAAATAGACTCTATTTAACAAGGTGGAACAAAAAGGACAGGACTGTTTTATTTCAGAGAATCCATGAATATCCTTTTCAGCACGATGGGCAGGAAAATTCAGAAATTATAATTTATATACATTTTTATATTAAAAAATACCTCAATTACAATGGATAAAGAGAAGATACAACTCAAGAGAATATTTGGATATTGCTGGGGCACAAGTTTTTTAATCACTAATGTAATTGGGGCAGGAATTTTTGTGGCCCCCAAAGGGGTACTGAAATACTCTTGCATGAATGTGGGGCTCTCCCTGTGTATCTGGACTGTCTGTGCCCTGTTGTCCATGATGACCACTCTCTGCTCAGCAGAGATAGGTATAACCTTTCCACGAAGTGGAGCTCACTACTATTTTCTCAAAAGATGTTTCGGCAACTTAATCTCTTTCCTGAATCTCTGGACAAGCTTGTTTCTGGGGCTAGGGTTAGCTGCCAGCCAAGCCCTACTCCTCGCGGAGTACAGCATCGAGCTTTTTTATCCCAGCTGCTCTGCTCCAAAGCTGCCAAAGAAATGTCTGGCGCTAGCCGTATTGTGGACCGTGGGAATTCTGAATTCTCGTGGTGTGAAAGAGGTGACTTGGCTTCAGACAGCGAGCCTAGTGCTGAAAATGGCTATACTCGGCCTTATTTCCCTGAGTGGAGTCGTGCTGCTGGTGAGAGGAAGGAAGGAGAATGTAGAAAGATTCCAGAACTCTTTTGATACTGATTTTCCAGAAGCTTCTGAGTTTATAGAAGCCATTTTCCAAGGATATTTTGCGTTTTCAGGCAGGGGATGTTTTACATATATAGCAGGTAATTAACAATTCATTGAGAAAGAAAATCTCAAGTCATGACTTACTGCATGCAATGTGAAATGTACTTTCTTTTTGTATATTTTGAGTTTTACTTTAAATACATGATGATTCAATGTTTATTCTTACTAAATTGAATCAGAATATTGCAGTCTTGCACTTATCACCCAGTCTTAATGTTTTCCCCCTTTCATTTAAAGGTGCTTATTTTATTGAATGACTTCTTTTTTTCCACTTTCTTTTCTGGGGCCATAAATATGGGATCTCCACGTCAATCTTGTTTCCTTTCTGTTAATGGATGAATTCTGGGATTGTGGAAATAGTCCCCTCCCATGAAACTGTGAATCCAGAAATGATCCAATGCCAGACTGTGTTTGTGTTGTGAGTGGGTGTGACATACTTATGCTCTGAAGTACTTTTAAAGAGAAGAGAATCATAGATGGACTAAATTACTCTGAGGCTGGATTTAATGCTCTTTCCTTCAGTGTCAAGACAGAAGATTTCTCTCTGCATTTTTAAAATGCAGTCTCAGGGTGACTGGGTCGCTCGGTTGTTTGAGTGTCTGACTTAGGCTCAGGTCACAATCTCGCAGTTCAGTTCAGAGTTTGAGCCCTGTGTTGGGCTCTGTGCTAACCGCTTGGAGCCTGGAGCCTGCTTCAGAATCTGTGTCTCCCTTTCTCTCTGCCCCTCTGTATTTGGACTGTTTCTCTCTCTCTCAAAAATAAATAAACATTAAAAAATAAAAAATAAATAAAATAAAAAATAAAATAAAATCAGTCTCTTCCCTTGAATTCTATCCTTTCCCTCTCACCTCCTAAGGGATCTTCCCCATTTATTAATTTTTTTCAACTTCAACCTTTTTACCAGTTCTTTTCCTTAACCTTTCAATGTGAAGTGGGTTCTACTCTTAAAACACATGTGATATTTCCTTTAATCTTAGGACCCCGAGTCACTGATGTGTCCATTACTCATTAAATAATTTGGTCAGCAAATATCTTATTAAACACTGACTATTTTTGAAGCCCTGTAGTAGTGCCTTAAGATGAGTAATATGGACGCTTTATCCTAAAGAGGCTAAAGTCTAATGGAAAAGGTAAAATCTAGATTTTGGTCTGACCTGTAGCACTTATGAACTGTGGCAGGTATCTTTACCTGTCTGGACTTACTTTTTTTTTTTTCTCCATCCGAAAAATGGTCATTATGACTTAAAATCACTATGATTTTGTGCTTATAAGTAACAGCATGATAGTATTTAATAAGTGGTTTTAAGGGGGAACAGTATGACTACTATGAGAATTCAGTAGATGGTGAAATCACCTTTAGCTGTGTCATCAAAAAGGTGGCAACTTTCACTGAACTCAAAAAAGTCCACCAGTAAAAATATATGAGTGAGGCTGTGGAGACCAGAAGTATGAAGGTGCGTATAAGACACAGCATGTAACTTTGGGTGACTTAAAAATGGTTTCCATCTGATGGGCTGGATAATAGATATGATTACTAAGGGAAGCATATAAAGAGAAGTAGAACAAAATGGCATAGGAGTGGAGACAGATGACTGGAGAAGTCCAAATTTAGAGGGTAGGTGGAGAAAGAAGATGCAATGAAAAAGTCAGAGGAGGTTTAGAGAATTATAAAAGAAAATCACTACATGTTCCAAGAAGAGGGTGTAATCAACATGGTGAAGTGCTTCCAAAAGTTGAGGAGTATGAGGATTGAGCAGAAGCCATTTCACTAAGAAATCATTGGTGAACTTTGGATACAAGAGGAAAGTCAGTCTGCATTGAGTTAAAATGTGAAGTATTGAGAAAAGGAAGCTATGGGATGAGATTACTGTCTTAAGCAGTTTGTGATTAAATGTGCCACTGCAATTGAAAAGACTAGGATAATTAGCTCAACTTTCCCTTTCTGTGTCTCACTTCATCTTTCTCTCTCTTATAAGGACAGAAGAGATATCTCTGGTTTTGATTTTATTCATCTTGTTCCATTGCCAGAGATGTTTCACTGCTGGATAATTTTTCTCTGCTGAAAATGATTCACAAAATTTACTTACCTATAAACTATTATAGAATTCTTCACAAGCAGCTGGCAGTAAACAAAGGTGAAGGAATTTCAGTGTATGCTGGGATGTTAATTCACTTAATAAACTTTAAATACAGCTAAGCTCTAAGTAACTCTTTTACCTGTAAAAAGATGATATGTAGGCAGCTGACTTAGCACACTGTAGGAACATCTACCTTCTAAGTTCAAGACCAAGGATATTCACTGTCTGGCCATAATAACTTTGAATTATGTTATGTTATGTTATGTTATGTTATGTTATGTTATGTTATGTTATATTCCTTACCTTCTCTCTATAAATCTGATACACAATAAGAAAGAGTAAAAGGGGCCGCCTGGGTGGCGCAGTCGGTTAAGCGTCCGACTTCAGCCAGGTCACGATCTCGCGGTCCGGGAGTTCGAGCCCCGCGTCAGGCTCTGGGCTGATGGCTCAGAGCCTGGAGCCTGTTTCCGATTCTGTGTCTCCCTCTCTCTCTGCCCCTCCCCCATTCATGCTCTGTCTCTCTCTGTCCCAAAAATAAATAAACGTTGAAAAAAAAATTAAAAAAAAAAAAAAAAAAGAGTAAAAGGCCCAGAGGAAAGTATAGTTCATCCTAAAAGTTGCCTTTTTGCTTGTTCAAAATCTTTGACTAATAACCATAGTCATTAATAACTTATTGAGTGCTAGACATTTGATTGGAATTTTATTGTCTCTATATTTTCCATTTTCCCCAAAATACAGGTCAGGAAATTGAAAACTTAGCAGTCAATAAATTGTCCAGAAGGCCACACCTAGTAAATGGTTCAGGCAGCATTTAAATGAGAACTTTCTAATTCTTTACTCTTTAAGTGCTTTAGCAGTTCATATTATTATATATCATGGGCATTATATTCCACCCCTGGGCAGATACAGATGAAACAGATTTGACATATATCAAAGGATAGATAGTTATTAACCAGAGGGATTTGGCTTTGAGTAACAGAAACCCACACACATTGGCTTAAACAATAAAAGAGGAACCTGCTGGAAGAATAATGCTGTATTTCAAGGAAGACCTGAGTAATCAATCTTCAGGAGCAACAGGAGATAGGGAAGCTCTAGGACTTAAAAACTAGATCTATCAGTCACCTTTCTTTTTTTGCCACCATTATGATGCTTTTTTTCCTGATTCTCTCAGTTTTGTCGACATTTGGCTCAAATTCTTGAGAGGAATCTTCTTGTGTAGTGACAACGATTGGCTTCCAGTGAGCCAGAGGTCTTACTTGGTTCTCTCACCAGCAGCCAGGACACAGGGCCACATTATATACACAGAACTATAATGCTCAATTGTTTATGTCAGGGATAATTCTCAGAGAATGGCAAAATTTGGGAAAACAGTGTGACAAATGGAACAATATTTGAGAATAAGATTGCCTTAGAAAATCCATTATCTATGATGCTAAATCATGACCTCTTTTCTTTTTTGCACTTAATACTGACATAAAGGGAAGGCAAAGATCCTACAGGGAAAGAGAATTTATGATTGACTCTTTTACTTTTTACATATATGCTATGAGAATGTTCATTTTCTTTTTTTTTAATATTTATTTTTTGAGAGAGAGAGAGAGCAAGCAGGGGAGGGACAGAGAGAGAGGGGGACAGAGGATCCAAAGTAGGCTCCTGTGGTGACAGCAGAGACCCCAATGCAGGGCTCAAACTCACAAGAGCCATGAGATCATGACCTGAGCCACAGTTGGACGCTTAACTGACTGAGTCACCCAGGCGCCCTGCTGCAAGAATGTATAATAGGACAATTTTGCCAGCCGAGGAGAGCTTCCTCTCCTATGTTCCCAAGTTATAATTTTGCTGAAATCTAAAATAAGAGTAAGGGTAAACCAGGCAACTAGGAAAGGAAAGAACATTCCACATGAGAGTATGGGTATAGGGGGCATGACAGTTTTGAAAAATTGAAACCTGTAGGCCTATGACACAGATAGCACAGGGCACCATCAAATTATCATGTTATATATTTTCATAGTATTGTATTTCTTTTCATATGGACAGTTACCACAGTCACTATTATAACTTTTATTTATGTGATTATTTAATTTGTATATAGCTCTTCTTGAGGTTAGACTTTATGTTTGTTTTTGCTCACTATCGTATTCCACTACCCAGATTAAGTGCCTTGTACCTAACAGATGAGGCTGAAGACACAGGTAGTCTCCAAACCATACAGGATCTTATGGACTCATCTTTGATTTTCATTCTTGTGACTTTCTTCAGAAATGTTATCATCTATAAGGAAAAGGAAGAAAATGTCCCCCTTTTTACACTTAACACCAAGATTATCCAAGAAAGGAGATAGGTGTGTAGCAGTTCATCAATGTGTTTGTGCCTATGTGTATGAATAAGTGTGACAGTGGCCAGAGTGGATAGGAAGAATTCAGCCCCACTGGTAATGCAGGAAGCAGTTTTAAAGATAAATTTAAGACATAATTTTTTACCACTTGTTATTTTTCTCTTTTATATGTTATAGGGGAGCTGAAGAAACCCAGAAAGACAATCCCAAGATGCATATTTACTGCGTTACCTCTGGTAACTATCATTTATCTGCTGGTTAACATTTCCTACCTGACTGTTCTGACACCGAGGGAAATTCTTTCTTCAGGTTTGTATGCAAGTGACTAAGGCAATAAATAATAATGACAGTTCTAGTCCATTTAGTATAAGTAAGTATCACTTTACCAGTCAGACTACTGTTTGCTTTTCATTATTTTATATAGAGTCACCTTGTAATTTTCAAAATATTGAAGGGGCCAAAGAGTATGATTTGGCTTAGGAAAGAGTTTTAGATTTAAGCATGATACTATGGAAAACCATGTTTCTGATGATATGGAAAAATATCCATATGCTGACATATGATGCAGACTAGGTTCAAAATATTTGTATCCCTTTCATGATCTTTCCTCACCAGAGTGACACCATACAATCAGTGCTTAGGTCTGTTAAAACTTTTACAAAAAAACCTGTAACTTTTACAACAATTATTTTCTAAATATTCTAGGTGACATAAAGAATGATAAACTTGAAATGTGGGACATTAGCAGTTAAAAGGGTAGAAGTTAGGGTCAATTACTGGATATAATTAATAGTATTAATATAATATAATAATGTTTATTATAAATTAAAGTTTATGGTGGCAAAGGGGTCCTGAACATATTGGAAATATGACATAAACTTCCGATATAAACTATCATGCAGTACCTTTAGGAATAATCTCTTTTGAGTAGCTATTACTGTTTGATAAATCTTTGAGGCACGGGAGGTAAATCTAAGAGAGGTTTAATATAAAAGTCTTAACACACTTTGCCTTGATTCTTGTGTTACTGCCATTCAGGAATCTTCCTGAATGGTATCAGTATTGATTCACAATGCTCTAGTTGTCTTAGGGACATGTAAACTAGATATGATCAAGATTTTGAGTATTTGTGGGAACAAACCAAAGGCTAAGTTAGATAAGAACAAGTAGTAAGTTATTAACTACTTTGATTATGCAGAGAATAAATTTATAAAATTAATTAGGGTGTGGTCAGGGCTGTTGCCCAGGTGACCCAGATGTTATGGTTCATTGAATCTGGCATTGGTTATGACTATCATTTCTCTGGTCACACTCATTGTTAAAAAAATTATGATTATCTTCTCTGCAGTGTCCTAATAGTTGCAGCAATTTTATGGGTGGCACAATTGTTCCACACGTGTGGAAGTCCCATGAAGGAAGACCCATGAAGTGTTTTGACTATAGTTGCTTGTAATTTGGTTTTTAATGCTTACTCTTCTAGCCGTATAATCCTCAGACCTTGTTTAGATCCTGTAATAATTTTCTGGAATTCAAATATCTATCTTCTATTGTATTAGGAATTTAAGTTAAGAAAATAATTAGAGCTATACATTAAAAACGTATGTATAGGAACAACCATCATAGCATTACATATGAGGGCAAAAAATTAAAGATCACCAAAGAATCCAATAAATTTGAAATAAATAAAAAATTTAGTGAAATCCAAATAATAGGCCCATTCTGAGTTTTTTCAAAGACCATATTGTTGTAAATACTTAAAGTAAAGGGACAATGTTTATAATGTAACAGTGATGGAAAAGCAGGATCTATATTATGATATAAAACGGAAAGTATATAGTTAATGGTGGAGATCTGTTGGAATGATATTGTGGGTGATTTTTGCTTGGTTCTTTCCTGGATTTCCAAAATTTTCTTTAATGAACTGTATAATTTATGTAGTGAAATAAATAAATTATAAGTGAAAGAAATAGATTTCTAAATTAAGGAAATGTAAGGATTAAGGAGTGTTTTCAATCAAATGAGTGTATTTAAAAGACATGAAAAGTTCCAGAGGAATATAGAGTATCTAAGATGTGGTGTGAATTGGATGCTACAGTTTCTTTGATGAACACTGAAAAAAATTATACCAAGCTGTGATACATATTAGATTCTGTGGTTTATATGGAGAAAGAACCAGTGCTATTTATCATGTATTGTTTTTGTTTGATCAGTGTTAGAGGTCTGACCTGCTTCTTTGCTGATTGTTCTCTTAGAAAAAAAATGGGCATAATTTTAAATAAGTTTTACAACACAGTGGGAAGGATGTTTCTAGAATGAGGTGTGTGCAGGGGCACCTGGGTGGCTCAGTCAGTTACACGTTCTACTTTGGCTCAGGTCATGATCTTGTGGTTTGTGGGTTCAAGCCCTGCATCCGGCTCTGTGCTGACAGCTCAGAGCCTGAAGACTGTTTCAGATTCTGTGTCTCCCTTGATCTCTGCCCATCCCCCACTCATGCTCTGTCTCTCTATCTCTCAAAAATAAATAAATGTTAAATAAATTAAAAAAATCCACCAATTGGTAACTAATTTAACTTACAGTTATATAATAGAATATCGAGCATTCTTTAAAATAACTAGATGTGGCACAAAAACAGACACATAGACCAATGGAATAGAATAGAAACCCCAGACTAGACCCACAAACATATGGCCAACTCATCTTTGACAAAGCAGGAAAGAACATCCAATGGAAAAAAGACAGTCTCTTTAACAAATGGTGCTGGGAGAACTGGACAGCAACATGCAGAAGACTGAAACTAGACCACTTTCTCACACCATTCACAAAAATAAACTCAAAATGGATAAAGGACCTGAATGTGAGAAAGGAAACCATCAAAACCTTAGAGGAGAAAGCAGGAAAAGACCTCTCTGACCTCAGCCGTAGCAATCTCTTACTCGACACATCCCCAAAGGCAAGGGAATTAAAAGCAAAAGTGAATTACTGGGACCTTATGAAGATAAAAAACTTCTGCACAGCAAAGGAAACAACCAACAAAACTAAAAGGCAACCAACGGAATGGGAAAAGATATTTGCAAATGACATATCGGACAAAGGGCTAGTATCCAAAATCTATAAAGAGCTCACCAAACTCCACACCCGAAAAGCAAATAACCCAGTGAAGAAATGGGCAGAAAACATGAATAGACACTTCTCTAAAGAAGACATCCGGATGGCCAACAGGCACATGAAAAGATGTTCAGCATCGCTCCTTATCAGGGAAATACAAATCAAAACCACACTCAGGTATCACCTCACGCCAGTCAGAGTGGCCAAAATGAACAAATCAGGAGACTCTAGATGCTGGAGAGGATGTGGAGAAACGGGAACCCTCTTGCACTGTTGGTGGGAATGCAAATTGGTGCAGCCGCTCTGGAAAGCAGTGTGGAGGTTCCTCAGAAAATTAAAAATAGACCTACCCTATGACCCAGCAATAGCACTGCTAGGAATTTATCCAAGGGACACAGGAGTACTGATGCATAGGGGCACTTGTACCCCAATGTTCATAGCAGCACTCTCAACAATAGCCAAATTATGGAAAGAGCCTAAATGTCCATCAACTGATGAATGGATAAAGAAATTGTGGTTTATATACACTATGGAATACTACGTGGCAATGAGAAAAAATGAAATATGGCCTTTTGTAGCAACGTGGATGGAACTGGAGAGTGTGATGCTAAGTGAAATAAGCCATACAGAGAAAGACAGATACCATATGGTTTCACTCTTATGTGGATCCTGAGCAACTCGACAGGAACCCATGGGGGAGGGGAAGGAAAAAAAAAAAAAAGAGGTTAGAGTGGGAGAGAGCCAAAGCATAAGAGACTGTTGAGAACTGAGAGCAAACTGAGGGTTGATGGGGGGTGGGAGGGAGGAGAGGGTGGGTGATGGGTATTGAGGAGGGCACCTTTTGGGATGAGCACTGGGTGTTGTATGGAAACCAATTTGGCAATAAATTTCATATAAAAAAAAAAAAGTGCCCATGATAGTACCTAGTTTTAAAAATCACACAAAAATTGTTATGTAAAGCCAAAGCTCTGTTTTGGTTTGCATGGTTTGATACATTGATGATATTTCCCCCTTTCTTCCATTTTTTTCTGCACCCACCCTTTACTGCTGAATTTGTGGTGATTTTGTGATAAAAGTTAACAATTAAAATAAAAAAGCGTTCTCTTCATTCCTGAGTCCTTACATTGGTGCTGAAGATAAAAGAATAACCCCAATTGTCTGATTAGCTTTTCCCTATTTGTATTTTTTCAACCTAAAAGCTATTTGAAGCATGAGTTTTTAGGTTATTTTCTTTTGTACTCCTTCTTCTAAATTCTGAGATGCTTTAGAAGAACAAGTTTACTATGTTTTCATTTGATTAAAATGTGACTTATCAAGGGACACCTGAGTGGCTCAGTCAGTTGAGCATCCAACTTTGGTTCAGGTCATGATCACACTGTTCGTGAGTTCAAGCCCCACATCGGGCTTTGTGCTGACAGAGCCCCCCCCCCCCCCCCCGTCCCCAACTCGTGCTATATATCTCAAAAATAAATAAATAAATGTTAAAAAAAATTTTTTTTTAATGTGACTTACCAAGGCACCTGGGTGGCTCAGTGGGTTAGGCGTCTGAATCTTGGTTTCAGCTGAGGTCATGGTCTCACAGAGTCATGATCTCATGGCTGGTGGGATCAAGCCCTGTGCTATCAGCGAGGAGCCTGCTTGGTATTCTGTCTCTCCCTCTCTCTCTCTCTGCCCCTTCCCTGCTGTCTCTCTCTGTCTCTCAAAATAATTAAATAAACTTTAAAAAACGTGACTTATCTGGAACTACGTAATTGTGTGTATAAAGTGTGGGTAACAGGTGGCAGAGTGGACTGTATCCCAGTTATGGCGCCCACCCACTATCAATCAATATATAAAATATGTCTATTTAACTTAGACTTTTAAAGGACCTGGGTTTGGAGATGTCCTTTCAGAAAGCATAGGGGCAATGTGGGAAGGTGTTTAGTGACATTTGTTAGCCAACTCTTCTCCCCATCTCTCTTCATCCTTCCAAGTTGATACCCATATACGTCAAAGGACTTCCCACTTGTGAGGATCCATCTCCTGATGTGATGACTAATTTTATGTGTCAATTTAGCTGGGTCATGATGCCCAGATATTTGGCCAAACATTATTCTGGAAGTTTCTGTGAAAGTGTTCCTTGGATGAGATTAACATTTAAATCAGTGGACTTTTCATAAAGCACGTACCCTTCCATAATGTGTTTAGACCTCATCCAATTAGTTGAAGACTTTAATAGAAACACTGACTTCTTCTGAGTAAGAAGGAATTCTGTCAGCAGATGGCCTTTGGACTTGAACTGCAACAGTGACTCTCCAGCCTGCCAGTCCACAGGAAGAATTTGGACTCACCAGCCCCCATAATCATGTGAGCCAATTCCTTAAAGTAAATCAATCTCTCTCCCTCCCTCTCTCTCTCTCTCTCCTGCCCCCATCTCTCTCTCCTCTATTCATCTTCCTATATGATAGATATATATATATATGTGTGTGTGTATATATATATATATATATATATATATATATATATCCTATTGGTTCTGTTTCTCTGTAGAACTCTGATTTTTCTCAGCCAACTCATATACCCTATTCTTGCCAACTAAGGACCACCCCTTCCAGGTCTTCATGTTCCATCTCATTTTGGCATATTGTTAAACATTATTCACACTTACACAATAACATATTCAACTTAG